CAAAAGCCATTGGGCAAACTTCTTCTTCGTCTTTCCCTAAACAGAAGTTAGAGACAGCGTGCACTTTTCAAAAGCCATTTATCAATGCAATCACGGTGGAATTTGTGCATGCAATCTCTTAGCCTAACATAACCAAAACCTATGGTGACATCTTCGAGACAGATTGGGCAAACTTCTTCTTCGTCTTTCCCTAAACTCTCCTTGTTTTTCTCCACCACTGCTCTCTCTAACTTCTGTGAAATTCCAAGGCGTGGAGATACATTTTGGCCCCTGAATCTTCTCAGCTTTGTACGTACATCAGCGTAAATTATTGCGCAGAAGTAAACGGTGAAGCCGCCGGAAACAAGGGCCGCAATTAAGCAAACAAGTCGGCATACGATGTTAAGAGCCCACGGATGACTAATTGCTTGATCTGGTTCTCCAGAACAACTAGCAAATAAGTTTATATCAAAAAAAAGACTAGCATATAAGTAATAACATGTGAGAAATGCCCAAAACATTAAGGAGGTAGAGCCTCCAACTAGCAAACTAAATATTGAAGGCTCTTCTCTGGATTTGGCTCGACGAGAACCAGGATTAGCCATCAAAGGATCCATTGAAGCACCAAACTAAAAATAGCCAAATATTGGAAGTACTCACGTCAATCCAAAAATCTAGTTTAGATGCTGCTATATATATATATATATCATGCACATACATAGGTCCCTTGATTTTCTCTATGCCATTATTGATTCTGTTATCATATCCCTTGATATCCCACTCTCTTATTCTCATTCCATTTTAATCCTAATTATTTAAATTGTTGTTGTAGGACGTTGCTGTGAATTTGGTTTGGTTTTGGTTGGAGATAAAGTTTTCATTGTTAAGCCAAACTCGTAATTGAATTTTCTGCGTGTTGTATGTTATCAATTTTATATCTAGGTGGAAGTAAAATCTTGTAGTCGATAATGATTAAGAGAAACCTATTAATATACAATCAAAATACTAGAAAACAATGTAACGGTCTTTTATCTAACCGCCTAACCGCCTGCACGTTTTTGTGTCCATAAGAACATCTCTATCTTTTGGATATTCTTTTAGAATATTTCAACAACAATATATTATTATTTTAATATAATTTAAATAATCAATTATATTTTAGTTTTAAAAATAAAATTAAACCACTTACAAAATGACAAATGGCTATTTTTAATATTATTTTATTATCTAGATATCTTATTAAAACCTGCAATGGAGATGCTCTAATTGGTTTAAAATTGCATATCAACTGAGTTAATGTAATGCGATTAGATATTAATCTCTAATATAATAACTAAAATAAATAAAATAGTATAATTAGATTTCAGTTTTACCATTTTATGAATATTAATATTTAGTTAGTCTAATGAGAAAATGAATTTAGTTTTTTGAAAACTAAATATACAGTAAGTTTTAATATTTTTATAAAGTTTAAATATTTAATATATTTTTATTTATTATATTGGTTCAACTAAAGCACCGTTGAGATTCAAATTTGGGTTTTCGGATCGGGATTGGACCGATTCCTCGGATTCGGATATTCGCTCCGGGCCTAATTTAGTGGTGTGAATAACCCACCGAAGGGTATTTCCGTCACTCCCACTTCTAACAATGAAGCCAAGCATCTCAATTATGAACCGTCGATCATAATATAAAATCCAACGGCGATAACATCGATCCGCGTGATTGTTTACTATTGGACAAGCATCACTCAACCGTCTCGAGACAGTATATATATAAACCCAAAGAGCCTAGTTAAATTTTAAAAGAATCTTTTATATTTTTTCCCTCGCTCTGAAATTTTCTACTTTCGTCTCTCTTCCAAAATCACAAATGGCTGGTCGTGGAAAAACACTCGGATCTGGCGTTGCTAAGAAGTCAACATCGAGAAGCAGCAAAGCCGGTCTCCAATTCCCCGTTGGTCGTATCGCTCGTTTTCTGAAGAACGGCAAGTACGCAACACGTGTTGGTGCCGGAGCTCCGGTCTACTTAGCCGCTGTTCTCGAATACCTCGCCGCTGAGGTAATTATCCCCTTCTATCCCTCTCTCTCTCTCTCTGCTCTTTCAATCTTCAATTTCGTAAAACCCTAATTTTGATCGATTTGTGTTTCGGAAATTGGATCTGTGTAGGTACTGGAGTTGGCTGGAAACGCAGCGAGGGATAACAAGAAGACTAGGATTGTGCCACGTCACATTCAGCTCGCGGTGAGAAACGATGAGGAGCTGAGTAAGTTGCTTGGAGATGTGACGATTGCTAATGGAGGTGTGATGCCTAACATTCACAGTCTTCTTCTTCCCAAGAAGGCTGGTGCTTCCAAACCTTCCGCTGATGAAGACTAGATTAGGTTTTGGTGTTGTGGTTTGCTAGCTGATTAACGTGTAGCTTAGGTTTAGATTAGATCTGCTTTTGTTTTAATTATGGTGTGGTCCCTCTTTGCTTTGAATATTGAAATCTTAATATTGATTGTTAATTAATTATTCTATATTTTTGCCCCATTTATTCGAACTCATGATGGAATTTGCAATTTATACTCTTCTACATTGTGAAAGAATCTTAACTTCAACAACATTTTAGCTGCAGATGGAATTTGCAATTTTAGTTAGATTTCTTTATCCAAAACATCCATGCCATTCTTTACAAGAACCTCTCTTAATTCCAGGGAAAGCGAAAACTAAACAAGACATAATAACACACATTGAACTCCTACCCAATTACTTCTTCCCAGTGATGTTTGAAACCAAATCTTTCAGAAACTTAGCTGATTTGGTGATAGGAGAATTCATAGCCATCAAGTTATACAGAACAAGCTCAACTTCTTCCATCGATGGCCGAGAGTTGAATTGTGAAACCACTTTCAAAATTCCATTACCTTCTTCTTCTTCAACAAGAACATTCCATCTCTCTCCACTCACAACACCATCTCTCACACACTTAAAGATCACTCCTTTTCTCTTACTCAACACTCCTCTCACTTCTAAACCTGTGAACGCATAAATCACTTCAAAGGAACCAATAAAGCCATCACCAAATCCTTTCTCTTCCTCAAACAACCATCTCGGATTGATCATCACCACAGGTTTCGAAGAAAAAGCTTCACTCGCCGTCTTCACATCCTCCACCTGCGTTTTCTCCGGAGCCATGAAAACCGCCACGTCAGCAGATCTCAGAGCTTTGTTAACAGAGTCTGAAACAGGAGACATGGCAATGTGGTTAACAGAGTCTGACCGGAAAGCTTTAACGGCGGAATCGATGAATGAAGGGTCAGGCCAGAGGAAGAGAATCTTGACATTGGAGCCTCTTCTCGAGATGGGTAAGTCATGGAAGATCGAAAAAGCGAGCTGAGAGAGAGACGAAGGAGAATCATCGTCAAGGATTGGGATTTCAAGACGGAATCTTGGTTGTTTGAGCTTCCTGAGTTTTGGGGAAGCGAGTTTTGGGTTGTTTAAGGGTTTGATGAGACAAGAAAGGAGACAAGTCTTGGCTTGAAGAATGGCTTCTTCTTTGGAAATTGGAGGAGAAGAAGGTGAAGGAAGAGAGAAACAGAGAGGAACGAAGAAACGAGTAGTTGTTGATTTGTGGTTGAGCTTTGAATGTTGTTGTTGTGAGAGTGATTTGGAGAAATGAAGATGGAAAATTCTGGAATTAGGAGGAGATAACGAAGGTGGAGAAGGGTTTAGTGCTTTCAAAGTCTGTGAATTAAGTTTGAAGAGAGTCGAAGAAGCCATGGCTGATGATGAGGAAGAGAAGAGAAAGAGGATAAGGTCGTTCAAATAAGAAACTGAGTTACAGAAACGAAAATTTGATTTCGGTTTGGGTCGGTTTATAATACCCAAACCGAAAATAAAGCAAAACAGAGGGCTTATCAAGTACCTTGCTCGTCACTAGTTGTCTCTCTGTTTTGTAAGAACTTAAAAATCTTCATTATATAATTGCATAGAAGAGATGAGAAACAAATTAAAATTAAAAGAAGATGAAAGCAAGAAGACGTTTTGAATAGAACTTGGAACATAAGAACACATAGGACCTGGTGTGCATAGAGATTCACCGAGACCCACTGTTTTGAAATGACCTTTCTCTCCAATGATGTAAGCAGCTATGTTGAAATGGGATGTCATCTTCTTTCCCCAATCATTTTCAAAAATCAATGCGACTTTCTTTTCCTCATCAATCAAGAAATTCCCAGTCACTAAAAAGCATCGCTTACCAACTTTTAATCGATAATTTCTAGCGATAGGCATAACAATAAACCGTTGCAGTGAAAGGCGTTTAATGCTTTATCTGAACTGTCTAGGCTAATAAGTGTTGTTTATTCCTCCTAGTGGAGAAGAAATCAACATTTTCGTTTTGAATACAATGGAGATCAACGCCGATCAAAGAAACCCTATATATGATTCATAGGCATTAGAAACTCTGCTTCCCCTGGCGTGGCTACATTGCGGATGTGCTTATTTGCAAAGCTCTGATCTTTGGTTAAAGCGTTCCATTTTTTACAAGTAGATCGCACTGCTTTTAAAGATGTCAACGGAGCCCTAGAGAGAATCTCCTCTACCAAATCATGTGGAAGATAGGACATCATCATTGTCGTCGTTTCAGACAAGGATCAGTGTAGCACAAATAAAGTTAGGTCAACTTTCAATAACTCTTTTCTTTTTTTCCTCTGTGGTTGTTAATTTATTCTGGAGAGGTTATCGATAGATTGTTACTGAAGAAGACAAAGAAACCTAAAGTTTTAAATAGTCTCAAGTACTCCAAGAAAGATCCTTGTATATATGTCAAGACTCATGAGCCATGGTAAGAAAGGTATTAAGCCTTTTCATTTGTCATTAAGAAATGAATACATCTTATAAAAGGATGGACAAGAGTGTAAACAAAACATGAGCCTATAATTTATATAAGTTTCAGAACAAAAACAGGAGTCTGGCTTTTTTCATTTGTGGATAGAGAGAGACTTAAGACAAAAAGAAATATGGATAATCTGAATGTAATTAGAAAACAAGGGATAAACTGGTTTACATGATTTGCACAGAACTTGGTACATAAGAGCAAGCAAGACCGCAACGTGTTGTGTATGGATATTCACTGAGATCCACTGTTCTGAAATAACCATTCTCTCTAATGATGTAAGCGTTGCTGACAATATTGGATTTAAAACTCTTTGTCTCATAATCATCAAAAACCACTGCGACTTTCTTCTCTTCCTCAATCAAGAAATTCGCAACGTAAAAACAATGTGGCCTCTTATAAACTTTCAAGAACTTGCTCCACGACACTTCATCAGGCTCAATCTTGTTCGTAACCCAAATCTCCATTTCTGATGCACCCCAATGCTGTAATAACACTGCAAGCTTCTCTTCTCCAACCACAGATAGAGACCCACAACCTTCATTGATGAAGGGCTGAGGAAGAGGCAAACGCGGTCCGAATCTCTCTCTTGTAAAATCAAAACATAATAAATAATAATCTTCTGATTCTTTATCTTTAGCATACCAGTATGTATTGCCCTTCAAAGACACGTCATCATGCATATCCACTATATCCCATTCAAGAGTGACACTAGGAACCATCCATGAATCAGAATCAGAGCTCAAATTGTAGATTTCTATGTTATTTAGGTAATCACCGAAAAGCCTCAATATTTTGTGGCTACCGCAGGATTTGTCGTATCCGAAAGCAAATTTGTCGAATCTCCCATAATTATTTGTGCGTTTGAACCATTTATGTTTCCCCCAATACGGGTTAAATAAAACCACAAGTGTAATAATAACATCATCATCAATGGTTTTTCCTGATAGGCATAACAATAAACCATTGCAGTGAAAGACCTTGAATATTTGATCTGGATGGTCTAGGTTAATAAGTTTACCTTTACGCTTTATAGATAGATCAACATTGTTATTTTGAATACCATGGAGATTGACGCCAATCAAATAAGCCTTATTCTCCATGATCATCAGAAAGTCTCTTTCCTCTGGTGTGGCTACAATATTACCGATGTGTTTATTTGCAAAGCTCTGATCTTTGGATAAAGCGTTCCACTTTTTACAAGTAGATCGCACTGCTCTCGTAGATGTCAACGGAACCCTAGAGAGAATCTCCTCTACCAAATCCTGTGGAAGATTTGACATCATCATCGTCGCTGTTTCAAGTTCCAAACGAGGATCGATCGGTGTAGCGCAGATAAAGTTAGGTCAACTTCAAAAACTACTTTCTTTTTCCTCTGTGGACTTTGCTGATTTCTTCTGGAGAGACTATCGAATATCAATAGATTGTTATTAAAGACACAGAAACCCTAATTTAAATTAGCGTCTAAATTAAAGTACGTACTCAAAGTTTCTAGCATCTGTTAAGTTGATGTCTAGTGTCTCTAATAGAGATCCTTGTTGATTGGGCCATTCTTAATTTATAGCCCATTAGACGTATTATCCTCGCACACGTGGCACAAAACCGATTTCGAATTGGTTTTTTGGTTCCTTTTTGGGTTGGTTTATATACCCATCCCTCTGTTTTCTTTTTTCGAATTGAATGTAAAATTGTATTCAACAAAAAAAAAAAAAACGTTTTTACAATGAATACATATGTTTTTGAATTACATATTTGAAACGATTTTGAAGTTAAGAAGCTTGATGACTACGTTACAGAACGGGGCTGGGGTGAGCCAGTCCATCAGTCCATCATCGTAGTTCCTGTCTCCCATAGTCCCATGTCACTTAATTGAGCTGAGTCAATTTCTGAAATTCTTGTAGATGAGCTTGAGTCTATGAGTTGATATTATTTTGCCATGTCGCCTTGGGCTTCTTTCCCACCAAATGTGGAAAAATCGTTGATTGGAAGACGTACCTTAGAAAGAATAGTTTGATCCGAGACATAGTTGAGCTGTGTAGTGAGGAGTGTAAACGATCCCAATATTAATCCCTCTTTTTTCAAAGCTTTAAGTTTTTAAAGATCAATTTTCTTACCTTCCTTCTTCGTTTGGTTTTGTCAAATTAGTTGATGTTTTGTGAGTGAAGCAATGATGAGGGCATTTGGTATCGTTTTCGTATTGATGGCACTTATATTAGCTGCAAAGTCAAGATCCATATTGTGTGTTCGCCTCTCCCATTCAAACTCTTGCTTGTGTTCTGTTGATCACTACGTTGAGTCGTTGATTAACACTAGAAATGTTATTATAACGTTAAAACTAAAATCTGTATGCTGTTTACATATATATCAATACTCATGAGCCATGGTATAAGAAAGGTTTCAAGCCTTTCCATTTGTCATTAAGATATTAATACATCTTATAAAGGGATGGACAAGAAGAGTGTGCATGCATAAAAACATGAGCCATTATTTTAGTTTCGGAACAAAAACAAAAGTCTAGCCTTTTTCATTTGTGTTTAGATCAATGTGAATGTAAGAAAACAATGGATATTATTGCCTGGATCAACTCTGTCTCTAAGCATTTGTTATATATAGTCTAAAGCATATAGGCTATTATTAAGCAATGGGTTAACAAAAGTAAATAACTATGTTGAGAATTCGATTGCAACCAGAAAACTGATAGCTTGCTCGTCCATTGTTGTCCTGTCTCTATAAAATATTAAATAGTAAAACTTAAATCATTATCATATTGCATAGAAGAGATGAGAAACAAATTCGCATTGACTAATCTTGTTCAAAGAAGATAAAAGCAAAAAGAAAATGTAAAAGACTAATTCTTAAATCTGGTTTACTTGATTTGCACACAACTTGGAACATAAGAAGACACAATACGGCAAAGTGGTTTGTTTGGAGATTCACGGAGATCCACGGAGATCCACTCTTCTGTAATAACCATTCTCTCCAATGACGTAAGCTATGTTGTAAATGGTTTTAAACCCCTTTCCCTTGTCTTTATCAAAAACAACTGCGAATTTCTTTTCCTTGTCAATCAAGAAATTCCAAGACGTTCATTTCAACTTTCAAGAAGATGCTCCACGACACTTCATCAGGCTCAATCTTGTTCGTAACCCAAATCTCTATCTCAGATTTATCCGACGGCTGTAATAACACCGTAAGCTGCTCTTCTTTAACCGTAGATAGAGACACATAAGTTCCATTGAAGGGCAGTGGCAGGCGCGGTCCGAATCTCTCTCTTGTAAAATCAAAACAGAACAGATTACAATATTGTGATTCTTTATCTCTAGCACACCAATAAGTATTTCCCTTGGAAGACACGCCATGTTGCATACACTCTTTATCCCGTCCAAAAGTGTCACTAGGAATCATCCATGAATTAGAGCTCAATTCGTAGATTTCTAGTTTATTATCGAAATCGTAAATCCTCAAGATTTTGTAGCTACCGCATAATTTGTCATATCCGAGAGCAAATTTGTCTAGTATCCCATAATTATTTTTGGGTTTGACCCATTTTGGTTTCCCCAAATACGGATTACAAACCACAAGCCTAGTATCATGACTAGTTTTTCCTGATACGCATAACAATAAACCATTGCAGTGAAAGACTCGAGACACATATAATTCCTCACCTGTTTTGTCTCTGCTAATAAGTTTACCTTTACACTTAATAGATAGATCAATGTTGTCGTGGAGATTGACGCCAATCAGATACACCCTATGATTCATTATCATCAGAAACTCTTTTCCTCGCTTTTTTGCAAACCTCTGATCTTTGGTTAAAACGTTCCACTTTTTGCAAGTAGATCGCATTGCTTTCAAAGATGTCAAGGGAACCCTACAGAGAATCTCTTCCACCAAATCACATGGAAGATCGGACATCATCACCGTACGTCACTGTTTCATGTTTCAAACAAGGATTGGTGTAGCAGACAAAGTTTGGTCAGTTTCAAAAACTCATTCCTTTTTAATTTTCTCTGTGGCTGCTGATCTCTTCCGAGAGGCTGCTGATTGTTACTTATAGCAAACATTTTGAGCTTGCGGAATCCCTAGTTTTCTAAGTTGCTCTCTACTCTAGTAAGGACCAAAACCCTAGTTTATGTCTCCCGATTATGCCATATATTAGACTTCCTAATCCAATAAGAATCCCTAATTACCTATTTCTATATTCCTATATTCTCATCATTCCTTTACTTTTCTGGTATTTTCGTCCTATATTGCTGTCACGTGTCAAACTCATATTTAACAATGAGTACACATTCTAATATTCTATATATCAATTGAGAAATTTTACTAGCTAGCTAGATAGAGAGAATTTATAGTGGGAAGAAAGGTAAGAAAAAGCTGACTGTTTGCCAAAATCACCAAATAAAACCTCAAGTCTTAGAAAAACCCTCTCCAAGTTTTAAGATCCAAAATAATCAACACGAGTTATTATTCAAAGAAGAAAAGAAAAACAAATTAATATCCAAGGAAGAAGAAAGCAAAAGGAGAATGTAGATAGACTAATTCGTAATCTGGGTTACTTGAGCTGCACGTAACTTGGAACATAAGAGCATGCCAGACAGGAAAGTGGTGTGTATGGAGATTCACCGAGATCCACTTCTTTGAAACAACCTTTCTCTCCGATGATGTAAGCTATGCTGTAACTGGATTGCAACTTCTCTGCCTCATTTTTATCAAAAACCAATGCGACTTTCTTCTCCACATCAATCACGGCGAAATTTGCAAAATCAAAACGTGGTTTAATATCAACTTTTAAGAACCTGCTCCACGACACATCGGGCTCAATCTTGTCCGTCACCCAAATCTCCATCTCACATGTATCCCACCTCTTTACTAACACCGCAAGCTGCTCTTCTTTAACAACAGATAGAGATACATCATCGAAATACATGAAGGGCAAAGGCAGACGCGGTCCAAATCTCTCTCTTGTAAAATCAAAAGAAAATAAGTATTTATCTTCTGATTCCTTATCTCTAGCATACCAATAAGTCTTTTCCTTCAAAGACACACCTTGTTGCATATACACTATATCCCGTTCAAGAGTGACATTAGGAACCCTCCATGAATTCGAGCTCAAATCGTAGATTTCGATGTTATTTAGGTTATCACCAAAAAGCCTCAAGATTTTGTGGCTACCACATGATTTGTCATATCCGAGAGCAAACCTCTCTGCTGTCCCATAATAAGTATATCTGGTGGGTTTGATCCATTTTGGTTTGCAACAGTACGGATTCCAAACCGCAAGCCTATTATTATCCATGTTTTTCCCCGAAACGCATAGCAATAAACCATTGCAGTGAAAGACTTGGGATATACAGAATCTCCGAACTGTATTGTCCATGCTAATAAGTCTACCTTTACGCTTTATAGATAGACCAACATTGTTGTTTTGAATACCATGGAGATTGACGCCGACCAAATAAACACTAAATTCCTTGATCATCAGAAACTCTCTTTCCCCTGATGCGGCTACATTGCGGATGTAATTATTTGTAAAGATCGGATCTTTGGATAAAGCGTTCCAGTTTTTGCAAATAGATCGCTTTTGCAAATAGATCGCACTGTTCTCATAGAGAATCTCCTCAACCAAATCCTGTGGAAGATTGGACATCATCATCGATGATCGTTGTTTTCAAGTTTCAAACAAGAAACAACGTAGCACAGATAAGTTAGGTCAACTTCCAAAAACCTTATGGAGAGGCTGCAGTCTGCACTCTGCAGATAGATTGTTGTTACATAAACCCTGATTTTAATTAGGTACTTATAGGTTGTGGAACTCCAAATTTTATCCGTGTTATTGGGCTATTTCGTCCGATTAGGCCATTTCTTAGACATAATTAAGGACCAGCTTCTGAAACATTACGACTAAAATATTTGTTGAAAAAGCCATCTGAAACAAAATTTATCAATTTGAAATCAAATCAAAATTTTCTAATCATATACGTATATTACGGAGTAAAATTGTAAAAGGTTTAATTTTATGGATACAATACGGAATAATTTTTTTGAAGAAAATATACGCATTTAAAATTTGAGACTATATTTGATGAATAGTAAAATATAAATTCCTATTAGTGATAAATAAAACCAGAACTATTAATATTGTAAATTTAATTGAATAAAATATATATTTTGACAATGCTATTTGGAATATAAGAAACACTTGATTAAATAGTCTAGTGGGAAAAAGGTATAAACAAATTTCTAACGTTTGCTAAAGAGTAAATTCACCAAATAAAACCTCAAGTTTTTCAATGGTGTCTTGATTGAGCCATTTTAGATCATAAATAATCATCATATACTAGTTTCGGTTATAAATGTTAGTTGTGTGCTCTTTTCCTTTTCTCCTTCATCTATTTTGATTTTAAAAATCTCAAAATTCTAGCCTTAATCCCAATATCGATTTGGGAGACATAATCTCTTCGGCGTGACGCGAAGATGATTTGTTTTTGTTTTGTTTTGTTCTGGAGGAATTGCTTATAAACCATGTTGAGGATTAATGGACTGAATCCAAGAAACTGGTCTAACTTGCTCGATCCTTGTCATCTCTCTGTTTTGTAAAATGTAAAGTAAATGAATTCTCTACCATATATATTGCATAAGAAGAAGTATTGAGAAACAAATTCATATTTATTGATAAAATCTTGTTCAAAGAAGATGAAATCATATTGAAAATGTAAACTGGACTGATTTCTATATAAATCTGTTACTTGACTTTCATAGAACTTGGAACATAAGAGCACACAAGGCGGCCAAGTTGTCGTGTGTTTGGAGATTTAAGAAGATCCACACTTCTGAAATAACCATTCTCTCCAGCGATGTAAGCTCTGTTGTAAATGGTTTTAAACATCCAAGGCGGCCAAGTTGACCTGTCTTTGTCTTTGTCAAAAACAACTGCGACTTTCTTTTCCTCGTCAATGAAGAAATTCTGATAGTGATGAATCTTTGGTTCCATTATCATATCAAGTTTTAAGAAGATGCTCCATGACACCGCATCAGGCTCAATCTTGTTCGTAACCCAAATAACCGTTGTATCCCACCGCTGTAATAACACAGCAAGCTTCTCTTCTGTAACTACAGATAGAGTTGCATAACCTTTGTATAGGGCATAACCTTCATTCAAGGGCTGAGGCAGAGGCAAACACGGTCCAAATCTCTCTCTTGTAAAATCAAAACATAATAAGTAACCATCTATTGAATCCTCATCTTTAGCATACCAGTAAGTATCTCCCTTCAAAGACACGCCTTGTTGCATATATATATCCCTTTCAAGAGTGACATCATCAGGAACCATCCATGAACTAGAGCTCAAATCGTATACATCGAGGTTCTTTTGGTTAACACCGAAAAGCCTCAGGATTTTGTGGCTACCGCTGGATTTGTCGTAGCCGAGAGCATACCTGTCTGAGCACCCGAAAGGAGGTCTTGGCATGATCCATTTTGTTTGTCCCCAATACGGGTTCAAAACCACAAGCATTTTTTCCCGTGCGCATAAAAATACACCGTTGCAGTGAATGACTTGAGATTTGTGGAATAAATCATCTGTTTTGTCTCTGCTAACAAGTTTACCTTTAAGCTCTATAGATAGATCAACATTGTTGTTCTGACTTCTATGGAGATTGACGCCGACCCGAAAAACATTAAATTTTGTGATCATCAGAAACTCTTTTTCCCCTGATACGGTTGCTTTGTCGATGTGTTTATTCGCAAAGCTCCGAGTTTTGGATATATCGTTCCAATTTTTGCAAGTAGATCTCACTGCTCTCAGGTATTTAAACGGAACCCTAGAGAGAATCTCCTCCACCAAATCCTTTGGAAGATTTGACATCATCATCGTCGTCGTTCCAAGTTTGAAACAAGGATCGATATCGATATAATGAAGTTAGGTCAAATATTAATAAATCTTTTCTTTTCCACTGTGGTGGTTTTGTCTAGAGAGGCGTTCGATAGGTTTTGACGTTTTGTTATAGAAGACACAGAAACCCTAAAAAGTAAGCCGGTGGAGCATCTGTTACGTTTCATATTTATTGGGCCCATTTAGACACATTTTAGTGACAAGACCCATGTTTTGAGACATCTGTGACAAAAATATCATTTTCGCTTTTATCCCTCTTCCGCTCAAGTCAACATTTTTTTTCCTAGTAAAAATTTCTCTCATTCTATTAAATCTTCTAACACGAGTCACGACTGACGACACATATCCATCTCACTGTCATAAGATGTGATTAATTTTAAAAAAACTAGTTGGTACTTACAATAGTTTGTTGGTTCAATATGTTTGATGATTAGTTAGGGCGGCTCAAATGTTGGCGAGACCCGGTGCTAGATCCATCTCAAAAAATTAAAGACCTTTAGATAAAAAAAGAAAGGTTTGGCCTATTATTATTACTAAACAAAAATTTGTGATTTTTAATTATAGAAAATATTAGTTAAATTTTTTTGGATTTTTTCATACTGTTTTTAATAAAAGTTAGAATTTTTAAGGTATATTTCTTGAATTTGTGGCTATTTTTAAGAAAATAAGGTTTTTTGTATATAAAAAAAAAAGAAAATAATTATATTTTGGAACCTTGGACCTTGTGCCCTAGCACCCTAACACATGTGCTAAGCCGGGCCTGATTAGTTATGGGGATTCAATGCTTGATGATTAGGTTCAATGTGGTAAAATTTTCTTTGTTCCCCAAAACGTATGAGCCAACGGTGTCCCAAACTAAACTAGTGATGTACGTTTAATATAAAATCAAATCCTTGAGGAGAGAAGAGACAGAGAATTCTACTCTTAAGGATAATAATATTGCATAGAAGAGATCATGAGAAACAAATTAATATTCAAAGAAGATATGAGAGAAAAAAGAGAATGTAAATAGACTAATTCATAATAATCTTGTTTTACTTGATTTGCACAGAACTTGGAACATAAGAGCAAGCAAGTGGACGAGGTGATGGGTATCGAGATTTACGGAGATCCACTCTTCTAAAACAACCATTCTCTCCAATGATGTAAGCTATGTCGGTGTAAGTGAGTGTGAGTTTAGGACTCCCCCATGCCCTGACTGTATCAAAAACCACTGCGACTTTTATCTCCTCGTCAATCAAGAAATTCGCAGCATAATCACATAGGTTCATATCAAATTTTAAGAAGATGTTCCACGACACCGCATCAGGCTCAATCTTGTTCGTAACCCAAATCTCTATCGCAGATATATCATACCGCTTAATTAACACTGCTAGCTGCTCTTCTTTAACTGCAGATAGAGACCCATCAAATCCTTTGATGGGCAGAAGCAGACGCGGTCCAAACCTCTCTCTTGTAAAATCAAAACAGAGTAAATGATAATCTACTGATTCCTTATCCTTACCACACCAGTAAGTATTTCCCTTCAAAGACACGCCATCTCGCATATACATCATACCCCATTCAAGATTGCCACTCGGAACCATCCATGAATTAGAGCTCAAATCATAGATTTCGATGTTATTTAGGTAATGACCGAAAAGCCTCAATATTTTGTGGCTACCGCAGGATTTGTCGTATCCGAAAGCGAACATTCCTAGTTGCACATACCCGCGTTTGATGTATTTTGGTTTCCCCCGATACGGGTTCCAAACCACTAAGCTCGTGGCGTTTACGAATAACAATAAACCATGGCAGTGAAAGACCTGAGAATGAGATGTACGATATTCTTCATCTGAATAGTCTAGGCTGATAAGTTTACCTTTTTGCTTTATAGATAGATCAATGTTGTTGTTTTGAATTCCATGGAGATTGACGCCAATCAAATAAGCTCTATACTCCATGATCATGATCAGAAACTCTCTTTCCCCTGATCTTGCTACATTGCGGATGTGCTTATTTGTAAAACTCTGATATTTGGTTAAAGCGTTCCACTTTTTGCAAGTAGATCGCACTGATTTCAAAGATGTCAACGGAACCCTAGAGAGAATCTCCTCCACCAAATCACGTGGAAGATTGGACATCATCATCGTCTCGTACGCCGCTGTTTTATGTTTTAAATAAGATTATGTGTCGTTGCATGTATTTTCCGGAAAGGCTATCGATGGGTTTTTTATTGAAGAACACAACAGAAACCCTAGATTTTATTACAGAGCAAAGATCCAACCTTGCGGAAATCAAGGGAAGACGTGGAGTATCCGACACGTTAGCGAAGTTGCTCTATAATGGGTCGGTACTCCGATAAAGATCCTTGTTATTGGGCCAGTCTTCTTTTGGCCCATTATACTCTTTTCATTCTTCTTCGGATAATTTGTTGGGTCAATATGTTTTGTTCATTAGTCATGGAGATTCAATGCAACTAGCCAAAGTAGATGATTTAGCTTCAATGATCAATGTGGTAAGTTTTCAACTTTTCATTGTTCCAAAACATAACAGAACTTGAATCAAAAATCACAACTCCAACAATCCAAACTAGTGATGTTTGAAACCAAATCCTTAAAAGACGTATTTCATCCATCCGTTAATGGCCGACATGATAGAAGAGAATGTTAGATTATGGAGCTTTTAGGTTTCGATGGGACCTTAAGATGATCGGAAAAGATGAGAACTTTAATCGGAAAAATGTAAGCTAAAGAGAGTAAAGAGATTTGAGAGATTTGAGAGATTGGAAAGATTATTTCTCTTTCTTACTAAAAATGGATCAATACAAAGGTTCCTTTTAAGGACAAAGCAAAAGGAATATCCTCTTGGATATCCACAATGTACAACGGTCAAAAGCAAGGGAAAACGCGTCATAAAGGATTTCCTCTCTTGGCGAGTGTAACGGCTCTCTTGGAAGGGTCGAGAGTCTTCTAGAACCTTGGTGAAGCTTTGGATAGGCCTAGGAAGGCTGGAGATCCCAATGGGCCGAGTAATCTTGAAATGGTACGAACGGCCTCAAGGATGATCGTACGGACATGGCTTGTACGGACGAGAAGCACAAGATGGTTCACAACCGATCGTGCAAACCGATTGGAACAACACCAAGTGACCCGGATGGATTCTTTTCTTCACTTGGTTCACTTGGTTCAATACTCCCCCTCAAGTCTAACCGGAGAAGGATGGAGGTTAGACTTGGATCCAAATTCAACCACCTCATTAAAAACCTAAGTGTAGAAAACCTCATGGGATAAAACCACACTTAGGGAAAAAGAGTATGGGATATTTGGCTAAGGGGATTGTGGCTGAGTTAAGTCAACAAGGCCTAACTTTTGGTGAATGTACTCACACACCTTGGTGCTAGCTCCTTTGGTGAAGATGTCAGCCAATTGTTCTTCACTCTCGGTATAATGTGGCAAGATGACTCCAAGTTGGATTTGCTCTCGGACTTTGTGGCAATCGACTTCAATGTGCTTCGTTCTCTCATGAAACACCGAGTTGGTTGCGATGTGAATGGCGGCTTGATTGTCACAATGCATGGTGATTGGTTGAGGCGTGTCTATACCAAAGTCTTTGAGGAGAGCCTTTAGCCACATTAGCTCCGTAGTAAGCTTTTTCATGGCCCGGTACTCCGCTTCGGCACTTGAAAGAGATACAACCTTTTGCTTCTTGCTTCTCCAAGTCACTAGATTTCCACCAATGAAGGTACAATAGCCGGTTGTTGATCTTCTATCATTCTTGTCTCCGGCGTAATCCGCATCACAATACCCAACAAGCTCCGTGTTCCTATTGCATCCCATCCAAATGCCTTGACCCGGAGCGCCTTTGAGATACTTGAGGATGCGGTTCACCATATTCCAATGGTGTTGAGTTGGAGCTTGCATTTGTTGGCTCACTACATTCACGGCAAAGCAAATATCAGGCCTAGTGATGGTTAAATAGATGAGCTTACCTACTAGCCTCCGATACTTGGTAGGATCTTCGAAAGGCTTGTTATCATGCTCCCCCTTTCGTCTAGCTTTGTAGTCATCTTCCAAGGGAGTCTTTGCTGGTTTAGCGCCAAGCTTACCTACTTCATCAAGAAGATCAAGAGTATACTTTCGTTGGGATAAGAAGAGACCCTCCTTTGATCTACAAACTTCTATCCCAAGAAAGTATTTTAGTTCTCCAAGGTCTTTAATATCAAAGACACTTTTAAGGAAATCTTTAGTATCTTGAATACCAACCTTGTCATTCCCGGAGATGATAATATCATCTACATAAACGAGAATGACTACTATACCTTCTTGGCTAGGGAGAGTGAAGAGTGTATGGTCAGCTTCAGATCTCTTGAATCCTCTTCCTAGGAGTGTGGTGCTTAGCTTGTGATACCAAGCTCTCGGAGATTGCTTAAGGCCATAGATTGCTTTGTTGAGCTTAAGAACTTTCCCGGGTGCTTCTTTATCTTCTAGACCCGGTGGTGGTCTCATATACACTTCTTCCTCTAATTCTCCTTGAAGGAATGCATTCTTGACATCCATTTGCCAAAGATCCCATTCCAAATTAGTAGCCAATGAAAGAACCACTCGAACCGTGTGAAGTTTGGCCACCGAGGCAAAAGTATCAAGGTAGTCTTCTCCATATTTTTGAGTAAAACCTCTTGCTACAAGTCTAGCCTTGTACCTCTCAATTTCTCCATCACTCTTATACTTGATGGTGAATACCCATTTAGAGGTCACGGCTTTCCTTCCTCTAGGTAGATCCTTTTCATCCCATGTGTGGTTGTTTATCATGGCTCGTCTTTCGGCTTCTATAGCGTCTCTCCACACTTGATGTTGCATGGCTTCTTCATATGTTGTGGGAATCCAATGTTGATCAACTTTGCTAAGGTAGACTTGATGTTCTTCGGGTAGGTGAGCAAGAGTGCATACGGCTTGAATTGGATGAGCTACCGCATTGGCATTGTAGTAGACTCTCTTGTCTTTCCATGTTGAGGGATGAAAGCGAAGTCTTTCACTTCTCCTTAAAGGTATCACTTCTTGAATAGTGTCTTCTTCCTCTTGATTTAATTCGTTGGAGCCATCACCATCGGGTATATGATCTTCTTCTTGAGTGTTGAGGTCATTTTCTTCATTTTGAGTGTCTTGGACTTCTTCCTCAAGACTTTCTTCTTCTTGTTCTTGAGTCTCTTGTCCTTGTGGCTGGTGTGGAGCTTGAGTTTGTGAAGGTTGGTAGTTCTCAATTCCAAGCTTCTCAAGAATAATCCGAAGGTTAGTAGCTCTATCCGATGGTGAGCTAGACAAATCCTTAAGACTTTCCCAATCCTTCTTGTCATAGAATCCCTTGTCTTCCACAAACTTTACATCTCTTGACACCAATACTTTCCTTGACTCCGGTACATAACACTTGTAACCCTTTTGAGTTGTTGAATACCCGATGAACATTCCCTTAGTGCTTTTGGCTTGGAGCTTGTTCCTTTGATCTCCGGGGACTAAGACATAGCAAACACAACCAAACACACGTAAGTGATCAAGAGAAGGCTTAGTCTTAGTGAGTACCTCAAATGGAGACTTGTCTTGTAGAATCTTTGTTGGTGTTCTATTGATCAAGTAACACGCGGTCATCACGGCATCACTCCAAAATCTCTTTGGAACATTGGTGTGAAACATTATGGACCTTGCAATCTCCATTAGGTGTCGATTCTTGCGTTCGGATACACCATTTTGTTGAGGAGTGTAAGGGCAACTTGTTTGGTGGATGATTCCGTGTGATGCTAGGTGATCCTTGAATGCTTGGCTTGTATACTCCCCACCATTGTTGGATCTAAAAATCTTAATCTTGGCATTGTATTGGTTAGTCACATAAGTATGAAAGTTTTTAAAAGCTTCAAGAACACGATCTTTTGAACGAAGGAGAGTAAGCCAAGTATACTTTGATTTTTCATCAATAAATGTGACAAAATATTTTTGGTTTTCTCTTGATAAACAAGGTGAAGTCCACACATCCGAATGAATTAAATCAAAGCAACTTTCATAAATAGTAGACGACTTAGGAAAAATAGCTTTGCAATGTTTACCAAGAATACAAGCTTCACAATCAAGACTTTGAAAAGAAACTTTTGGTAGCATTAAACTTAAAGCCCGAGGATGTGGATGACCTAGTCTAGCATGCCAAATAGCACTATTCGCAACAACAATACTTGAACTAAAATGAGAAGATAAAGGTTCGGATAGCTTTGTGTCTTCTAGAACATAAAGACCATCCTTTGTAACTCCTTGACCAAGCACCCTACTTGATTCAATATCCTGAAAGTAAACATCATTAGGTCCAAATATCGCATAACAATTTAAATCGGTCGTTGCTCTTTTAACGGAAAGCAAGTTAGAAGTAAAATTTGGCATGTAAAAGGCTTTAGACTTCTTATCAAATAGCTCTAAATCACCTATTCCTTTAACCGGAATTTTATCCCCATTAGCAATTACCATGTTTCCTAAAGCCGGTTCAATATTGTTCATTAGCCTAGAATCACTAATCATGTGATGAGAGGCTCCCGAATCAACAATAAGAGGTTTTAGAGTATGAGCAATAACATGATAGGATTTACCGGATGACTCCTTAAGAGCCTTAATGAGAGCATCGAGATCAGATTTCTTCACATACTCCGAAGACGCCGTCATTGCCACTCCAACACCATTCGCTTGAGTTGAGGGTCCGGGTCCGGAGGTGTCTTGAGTCTCTTGGCTCCAGTTCGCTTGATGAGCTTTAGGATCCTTCCATTTACTTGGTCGGAGATGGGGATGGAGGATCCAACACTTCTCCTTGGTATGACCCGTCTTTTTGCAATGGTCACAAGTTAGGCCTCTCTTGTTCTCGGACTTGTAGCTTCCCTTGTTGGCGGTGGTGAGCTCTCCTTTGTTGGCTGTAGCAAGCTCTCCTTTGTTTCCGAAGAGACCAAGAGATCCTTGCTCCTTTTGGATTTGAGAGCACACTTCTTCTAGGTTAGGTAGCTTCTCGGCTCGGAGTAAGTGCTTGATGAGATCGTTGTAGGTGGAGTTCAAGGTGAGAAGGAGACCAAAGACCTTGTCTTGTTCACGCCTTTCGTTGAGGATCGCCGGATCAATGGTGTTAGGCCTTAGCATCTCGAGCTCCGCCCAAAGAGACCTAAACTTGCCGAAATGTTGAGTGAACTCCATGTCTCCTTGAGAGAGATCGTTGATGGCCTTCTTCACTTCGAACACCCGGCTCAAGTTGGAGAGATTCCAAACACATTAAAGAGAGTATCCCAAAGCTCTTTAGGAGTTTCACAATAGGAGTAAGCTTCGAGTATTGAGGACTCAAGCGAGTTTCGGAGGAGGACCAAGACCGATTGATCTTCTTGGAACCATTTCCCCTCATCAACAAGAACGATTTCTTGTCCATCTCTTGTGGTCGTCTCCTTTGGCGCCTCTTCGTTCAAGATATGGTTCCAAAGTCCCCGACTACACAAGGCAGATCTTGTGGTTCGTGACCACAGCAAGTAGTTTCCTCCCTTGAGGATAACCGGAATGATTTTCGAGTGTAAAGAACTCATCTCATCATAGAATGAACTCATCGAACAAAATCAAAGAAAAGAGAGAGATTTGGTGCGGAAGTAAATGAGGTGGGTTGAATGAAGGATATGGAGCTTATGGCTCTGATACCATGTTAGATTATGGAGCTTTTAGGTTTCGATGGGACCTTAAGATGATCGGAAAAGATGAGAACTTTAATCGGAAAAATGTAAGCTAAAGAGAGTAAAGAGATTTGAGAGATTTGAGAGATTGGAAAGATTATTTCTCTTTCTTACTAAAAATGGATCAATACAAAGGTTCCTTTTAAGGACAAAGCAAAAGGAATATCCTCTTGGATATCCACAATGTACAACGGTCAAAAGCAAGGGAAAACGCGTCATAAAGGAGGTGAGAGCGCTCCTTGTCCTTTTCCTCTCTTGGCGAGTGTAACGGCTCTCTTGGAAGGGTCGAGAGTCTTCTAGAACCTTGGTGAAGCTTTGGATAGGCCTAGGAAGGCTGGAGATCCCAATGGGCCGAGTAATCTTGAAATGGTACGGACGGCCTCAAGGATGATCGTACGGACATGGCTTGTACGGACGAGAAGCACAAGATGGTTCACAACCGATCGTGCAAACCGATTGGAACAACACCAAGTGACCCGGATGGATTCTTTTCTTCACTTGGTTCAATAGAGAAGAGATAGAGAATAACTCTTATAAGGTCTCTCGTTCAATAATATGAATCGTCGTCGGTCAATCTTCACGCGTGCGAAACGAGAAGCCTCGCACGTGCCAGCCTTACATGACAACAATAATACTTTTTTTTGTCCTCACTCATTTTCAAGTTACAGTCTTTTCTCTGAATTTATTATCACACAACAAAAATCTCTAAATGTCCTAAAGACGCAAACATTCTCGATTCCACGTCTTTTTGCTTCTCCACATAAACCCAATTTCTCGGATCTGGGATCTTCGTAATCCGGCAAAGTCTATGAGCTGCAGTTGTTCTTGATCCATCTTTTGTGATTCGAATCACAGAGGATCGGCAATGGAGTCGATACTGGCTCGAGCCTTAGAGTATACACTCAAGTATTGGCTCAAATCGTTTACCAGAGATCAGTTTAAGCTTCAAGGCCGTACCGCTCAGCTTTCTAATTTAGGTTCGTCTTTATCTTCCCTCATTGGGAAAGAAAAAGATTGTGTTTTGTGTATCTTCTGATTCAGATTTCTGTTTTGCAGACATTAATGGTGAGGCTATACATGCCAGTATGGGTTTGCCACCTGCCCTTAGTGTGACCACTGCCAAAGTTGGAAAATTGGAAATCATGGTTTGTGTTTTTTTGGCTCTGCTTTTCTGTTTTTGTTGTTGAGGAACATTTATGGAATTGGCAGTGGTATAATATGTAGTTTCCACCTTAACCAGATATGGTTACGATTATTAAGAACTTGGCTTTGATTTGTTGCGATTTCGGCTCTGTTGATTGTGATGGAATGAGCTCTAAAATCTACTTTTAACAGATTGAGATTTAGGATTCTAAACAAGTAAGAACATAGCTTGGATTTGTGACAGTTTAAGTGGATAGTTGGATAAGTAGCACTAGTTCTTTTGAATTTGATGGAACTGAAATGTGTTTCTGTTTCTGTTAACGTGTGTGATCTATCTTGTTCTCCACAAGCAATAATTTCTTTTTGATTCCTTCTCATTTTCCTCCTCGTATAGCTTCCATATGTCAGTAATGTACAAACGGAACCCGTTGTTGTGCAAATCGATAAACTTGATCTTGTTCTTGAAGAAAATCCTGATGCTGATGTGACAAAGGGTCCAAGCAGGTACTGAGACCCTACTTCCTTCTGTTTTGCTTCTACCCAGTCTTCACTGAGCCTTGCTTATTTTTCCAGAATATTATTGAAACCTTAATTTATTTTCTTACTTTTTTCCTTCAGTAGTCAGTCTCCTACCGCCGCAAAAAGTAACGGGTATGGATTTGCTGACAAGGTGAGGTATCTCTACTACTTCGTCAATATTTCAAAAAGTTATTCCATAAAGCACTGAGTCATTAGTAGTTTTCTACTTAGTGGTTCAAATGGTCTAGCCTCCTCTAGTTAGGTTGGTTGTTTTGAGCTTGGTTCATTATTGGTATTTCTTACACATGTGGTTGAAGACTAGCTAAGCATATAATCCTTTTGTTTTGTCGAAGCAATGATGTCAATTTTCTACAGTGTCTTTCTTCTAGTTCATATAGTTCTATTCATTTCTGATATAGAGGTACTTGTGCAATTATATTTTATTATGTTGATCAGATTGCAGATGGAATGACTTTACAAGTTAAGGTGGTCAATCTTCTTCTTGAAACTGGAGGTGGTGCCCACCGTGAAGGAGGGGCAGCCTGGTTAGTTACTTTTACTGCACACATTGTCTAGTTATTTGAAACTTAGCTTCATGTCTATGGGGTGTTGGAATCTCGTTACTTAGGGTTCTTTGATACAGAATACTGGTTATACTATAATTTATGCCTTTCACACTCCTACCTGACTGTAGTTTCGTTTCGTTGTCCTCTACTCGGGGATTAAATCTAAATGCCTTGGATTGTTGCTTATGTATATCTAAGCTCTTATACTTTGTATCTAGGGCTGCTCCGCTGGCATCTATTACAATTCGTAACCTTGTTCTGTACACCACTAATGAGAGTTGGAAGGTGAGATTTGCGAGCATGATGTAAGAAAATTCTTTTCTGGAAGAATTAGTATTCTGAATGAATTTCATTTACAGGTTGTAAATCTGAAAGAAGCAAGGGACTTCTCTACTAACACAGGATTTATTTATTTGTTTAAGGTATTGATGCCACTCTTTAGCTAGTTTTCCTTGATACATATTCTAGATGGCTCAAGATTAAGCATTCCGTGTTTGCAAAAACAGTGCCAAATGTCTATCTATATCCATGGCGCTTGCTTTTAAAAGTTCTTTATTCCTACCTGATAATCTTCTTTGAAGATAATATTCCTGATGTGATTTGTTTTTCTGCATGTGATGATCCTTTCGTTATCAGAAACTTGAATGGGAAGCTTTATCAATTGATCTTCTACCACATCCTGATATGTTCACTGAAGCTAATTTAGCCCGGTCTGAAGAAGAAAATCTCAGAGATGATGATGGTGCAAAACGAGTATTCTTTGGTGGAGAACGCTTTTTAGAAGGAATTTCTGGCCAAGCATATGTAAATATTTGTTTTCGATTCCCTTTTACTTGTATATACGACATTAAAGCAGGATGCTTGTCTGCATTAGATGTTTTGGTGCCTAATTCATTCCTGATGGTGGCCTCTTGTTCAGATCACAGTTCAGAGAACAGCACTAAACAGTCCACTTGGGCTTGAAGTCCAGTTGCACATTCCAGAAGCTGTTTGTCCAGCCTTAAGTGAACCAGGTTTGAAGACATACTCTCTTAGTTTTCAGATAGTAGGTTGATGCAGATTGGTAAGTAAGTCTACTCATTGTTCTTTGGAACAGGGTTGCGCGCTCTTCTCCGCTTTCTAACTGGAATGTACTTATGCCTTAACCGAGGAGATGTGGATCCAAAATCTCAGCAGGTCTTAAATTTTCACATTCCCACTGGATCATTTTAAAGGAAACGTTGTACATGAATTCTTTTTCTCACGCTTTAATGGTATGCCTCCATCAGTCTGCCGAAGCAGCAGGACGTTCTCTTGTCTCCGTTCTTGTGGACCATGTATTTCTTTGCATTAAAGATGCTGGTTAGTTAATTTGACTCACCACATGTTAGCTAAGAGTGCAGTCTTGCATAGAACCATTACTCTTGTTTCCTGGGTTTAACATGTACCACCTTTCTACGTTTCAGAATTCCAACTGGAACTACTAATGCAATCACTCCTTTTTTCTCGGGTATGTTCTCACTGATTCTTAGATTTTGATCTAGATAGTAACTAGCATGATTTTGTTTCCTGCATGCACTTTATGCGCCATGGAGCTTTCTTAGTTCTGGGAAATCGTAAAACAAATTACAGGAACTCTAGTTCTTATGAATTAATTGTAAGTGTGTATAAGTTTAGTATAAGTTGGAACAACACACACACATTATCAAATCAAATCTCGGGCAATGTGAAGAACACATAAAGAAATTAGGGATTTGGACCAGATTTTCTCCCTCGTGAAAATGGTGACATGGTTAATAAATCACTCTAATATGATTAATGCATATAATGGTTTATACCACTAACTTGGTTGTCTCAAGCTCTATATATCTCTTCCCATTCATATTATGTTTACTAGAAAGTTTATTGCCCTCAGATTATTTAATGCACTTCAGTACGCTAAGCATCTTGAATTATATATGGTGCTGTAAACTGACATCACTAGGCATATATACTTGCAGGCCTGTGTTTCGGACGGAGAATCAGCTAACTATTTGACTAAGATTTTGATTGTTGGGCTATTTTTAAGGTGAATATGCTTATGTCGGGATACAATAGTAAATTTCCTGATTAGAGTAATCCGTTTATAGCTTTCTTTAAAGTTTGAACTATGCTCCCTATCATCATATCAATAGCTTTGTCTTTGCAATTTTACTAGAACGATCTCTGAGCACTTTGTAATTTCTGTTGATCTTCAGGGCATTATGTTAGTCGTAGTTGCGATTTACTTTCTGCATAGTCAAGATCTTTGTTTCTGATGGCTCTTTTGAAACCTTTATCCGATTACCTTGTGTTACTAGTGTTTAATAGATGTAGAAGCCAAAATCTTACTTGATAGTGTATGTCGTACGATATAAATTGAAAAGATTTGTGGAAAACTTCAAATAATCTACTTCTTATGAAGTACGCTGTTGATGTTGTTTTTTGAAGCTAGCTCTTTTACCATTTTCATTTCTTTGTTTCACATGCATTTGCTGGTTATGTTAACTTATAATATTTGTATAATTTTCGGATGCATGTAATGGTTCACAACTTTGAATTTAAAGTTCTTGCATAATCACTCATGGTTTCAATTCAGGGATGCCTTTTCGCGCGCTCCTTGTGCTCTAGTCCAACCATCCATGAAAACTGCTGCCGAAGACCTTGCAATTCCCGAATTTGGTATTAATAATTCCTGACTGTAGTTTACAAAAGTTCATCTATTGCGATCCTGTTAGTTGTTGAAACAATTTCATGCTGATTAATTTTCCATCCACGTATTTGGGGCAGCCAAGAATTTTTGCCCTCTCATATATCCATTGGACAGCGGCCCGTGGCAAATAGTTCAGGATGTACCCTTGATCTCCCTACACTCTCTTCAGGTCAAGCCATCCCCAAAACCTCCACACTTTTTCTCAAAGACAGTTATCCAGTGCCAACCACTCATGGTATGTGTATGTCAAGTAAAAATCAAAATTCTCTCTTTTTAACAAATTCTTCACCCTTTTCTTCTTCTATCCTTTCTCAGGTTCATCTTCAGGAAGAAGCTTGTTTAAGAATTTCATCTTTTCTGGCTGATGGCATTGTTGTAAATCCCGGTGATGTTTTGCCTGATAACTCTGTTAACTCTCTTCTTTTCACGCTCAAGGAGTTAGATGTCTCTGTTCCATTAGACCTGAGTAACTTGGAAGATTCAGCAATCAAAGAAGACCTTTCCATAAAAAAGTCCTTCATTGGGGCGAGGCTTCATATTGAGAATTTATCTTTT